GGACCTGGAGAGGTTGGATCCAGGGGCTGAGGGACCTGGAGAGGTTGGATCCATGGACCTGGAGAGGTTGGATCCAGGGGTTGAGGGACCTGGAGAGGTTGAATCCATGGGCTGAGGGACCTGGAGAGGTTGGATCCAGGGGCTGAGGGACCTGGAGAGGTTGGATCCATGGATCTGGAGAGGTTGGATCCCGGGGCTGAGGGACCTGGAGAGGTTGGATCCATGGATTGAGGGACCTGGAGAGGTTGGATCCATGGGCTGAGGGACCTGGAGAGGTTGGATCCAGGGGCTGAGGGACCTGGAGAGGTTGGATCCAGGGGCTGAGGGACCTGGAGAGGTTGGATCCATGGACCTGGAGAGGTTGGATCCAGGGGCTGAGGGACCTGGAGAGGTTGGATCCATGGACCTGGAGAGGTTGGATCCAGGGGCTGAGGGACCTGGAGAGGTTGGATCCAGGGGTTGAAGCTGCAGAAGGACCTGCCATGTCTGGTCACTCCAGGTTCCTGGCACTCCAAGGTCCCTCAAGCACCGACAGTTCCGGATCCAAAAAAAGGGCAATTCCTTCGTGCTGGAAGGGTGGGACAGGGAGTTCCCCACCTTGAGGGAACTCCTGGATGTTCTCAAGAGCTGCACCCTCACCTTTGGAGGCGAGAACTTCACGGTGAAGAGATGTTGTCCACCCAAACCTGGAGGTACAAAGGGGGTGGGGTAGGAGGGATGAAGGTGTCTTGGAATTCCCAGAGATTCCATCTCCATCTCTGCCCACAGAGGTCTCGGATCTGCTGGTCACCTGGAAGGTGAAGGAGAACTCCAAGCAGATCCTGGACCTGACCCAGCTGAGCTTCCACCAGATCCGCAAGAACCAGATCACTCAGGTTGGGGGGTCCTGGGAATGGGATCCATGTCCATTGGGAATTCCAGGGTTGGGTTGTCCCTGGGGAAGGGGCTGGAGAAGGTGGAGGAGGGGATGGAGGATGAGGAGAAGGGGCTGGAGAAGGTGGAGAAGGGGTTGGAGGACATGGAGGAGGGGATGGAGGACACGGGGGAAGGGATAGAGGACAAGGAGATGGGGCTGGAGAACATGGAGATGGGGCTGGAGAAGGTGGAGGAGGGGCTGGAGGACATGGAGAAGGAGCTGGAGAAGATGGAGGAGGGGATGGAGGACAAGGAAAGGGCTGGAGAAGATGGAGGAGGGGCTGGAGGACAAGGAGATGGGGCTGGAGAAGGTGGAGATGAGGCTGGAGAAGGTGGAGATGGGGCTGGAGAAGGTGGAGAAGGGGCTGGAGAAGGTGGAGATGGGGCTGGAGAAG